TCTTCTGCATCCTCCTCCTCCTTTCTCCTCCCCCTTCCTTCCCCTTCTCCTCCTCCTGCTTTAGTATAGACAGGCTTGGTCCTTGGTCAGCTGAGGCTGTGCGCCTTTCCAGGCTGGGATGTTACTGTGGGCTGCAACGCTGGCTCCGCGTGGCCCCCAGTGGAACCGATGTCGTTCTCGGTAACTTCTTCAGGAGTGCAATAGGCCCCAAAAGCACCCCACCAGCAGAGTCGAGGCGTCGGGACGTGCGGCCGCAGCGATGCGGACAGCGCCGGGACCCCGGCGTTTCTGCCTTACTCTGTGCCCTGGCTTAGGTGACGGGCAAAGCGGACATGGTGGGGGGACAGTGGGGCTCACAGCCTCACTGCCATCCCCTGCGGGTAAAGCGAAGCTGCCCCACGGCCGCCCCAGCTGACTCTTGTGTCTTGTGTGCAGAACCGTGCCCTCCGGAGGCGGCCGTGTGTCTGCTGGACGGCTCCACGCCTGTGAACCTCGGCAGGGTGGCGGACGGCCCTCAGCAGCGCGATGGGCTCACCATTCTGAAGTACACGGATGGCGACTTGTGTCCAGACAAGATCCGGAGAAAGTCAACCACTATCCGGTTCACCTGCAGTGAGAGCCAAGTGGTGAGTGAGGCGCTTCCTGACAGAGCAGGGCCCAGGGCCCTGAGCCTGAGAAACCGACGGCCCCCATTTCCAGAGTGTGAGTGTGCGCGTGCGGGCCGCTGGGGCAGGGATGGGCGCTGGCTGGCGCCATCAGTGATCGATGAGCCTCTGGTGCTCAGCCCAGCTTTGTGGGCTCAGAGTTCATCGCTTGTCTCAAGTCTTGACTTGGAGTCCCCAGAGAGCGTAAAGGAAGCATCCTCAACCCTGCCTCCTGTCTGGGGACAGCAGCTCCGTGGCCACAGACCCCACAGGAGCGTGGCTCCTGTCCTCTCAGCTGCGGCTGCTGCGTGGGGCGGAGGCTGCCATGTGGGGCAGGGTCTGAGCGATCACGGGGTGCAGCCCTCGCCGGCCCGTCTCTCCAGTGTGCATGTTGAGGGGCGAGGGTCGACACCAGGGCTCACTACTGGTGTGTGGTGGGAGCTCACTCACTGTTCCCAGTTGGTGTGTGCATACATTGGGCAGATGTTGTATGGCCTTAGTGGATTCCCTGAGGCTGAGGGGCTGTGTGTGCTCTGGTGTGTGCTGTGGTGTGTGCTGTGGTGTGTGCTGTGGTGTGTGAGGGCTGTGTGTGCTGTGGTGTGTGTGTGTGCTGTGTGCTGTGGTGTGTGCTCTGGTGTGTGCTGTGTGTGCTGTGGTGTGTGTGTGCTGTGGTGTGTGTGTGCTGTGGTGTGTGTGTGCTGTGGTGTGTGTGTGCTCTGGCGTGTGTGTGCTGTGGCGTGTGTGTGCCGTGGTGTGTGTGTGCTGTGGTGTGTGCTGTGGCCAAGTCTGGGAGCAAGGCCGGACCCTCTTCTGCCAGCAGGGGAGACTTAGGGCCAGGACATGGGGAGGACAGAGCGGGGCGTGGGGTGCGGGAGGCTCCGGGGTGCGTTGTGTGTGGGGGGAAGCGTGCAAGGGGACGGCCGGCTGTAGCAGTGGACGGGCTGGGATAGATGACCGGCTCTCCTGATGAGTCTCTGTTCTGACTGTTGACTCGTTAGGAATTTTATCGGTAATTGACGCACTGGCGTCTCTGCAGCCCCCGCGGCCTCCTCTTGCTCCCTGTCAGCATGGCTCTCCTTGCGAGCTCTTCTGGTCCGTCTGTGCAGTTCTGTGACCCGCCTGTGCCTCGGCCTTCCTGCTCGGCCTGGTCCCGTGGGGACGCCCAGCAGGCCTCTCTGTGCTTGTGGGGTTTTGAAGACCGCCTTGCCTCGTGGGAGTGGGCTCATTGACGCGGGCTGTCTGCTCTGTCCCAGAACTCCAGGCCGCTGTTTGTCAGCGCTGTGCAGGACTGCGAGTACACCTTCTCCTGGCCCACGGCCGTGGCCTGTCCTGTGAAGAGCAATGTGCACGGCGACTGCCAGGTCACCAATCCCAGCACAGGTAGGGAAGGGGGTGCCGGCGGCCCTGCCTGGGAGAGGCGCCGGACCGTGCCAGGTGCCCTGGTCTGGAGCGTTCCGTGGGGCAGGTCACGTTCGGTCTGGTCCCTGGAGCACATCCATGCCTCATTGTCCTTCAGGAGGCTGCCTTTCCCAGCCTCCATCATCCTCTGGTCCGGCTGGACTCCTTGCTGGGCTCTGCTATGCTGGCTGCGTGCTCTCCCGAGCAGTCCCTTTCAGAGCCAGTCTGCGGGGCAAGCGGGAGGGTCCTGTCCTGTCCCTCGCTTGGCACCTAGAAAGGCTCAAGTACTGAAGCGTGCTCGGACCCACAGGAGTCAGGGGCTTGGTGCTGCCTCAGGAAGCAGCAAGGAGCCAGGGACTCCACCCTGACCAGAGACCGCCAGAGCCTGGGTTCCCCAGAATCACTCCGTCCCCCACCCCTTTCCCCACAGGACACCTGTTTGACCTGAGTTCCTTAAGTGGCAGAGCTGGCTTCACAGCCGCGTACAGCGAGAAGGGGCTCGTCTACATGAGCATCTGTGGGGACAATGAGAACTGTGCTCCGGGCGTGGGTGAGTGTCGTGGCCAGCCTGTGTGGTTTGACTGCCGTCCCTGGGCCTGGCCTCAGCGGGACTGCTGTGGTCCACGGCCCAGATCACGAGAGCCCAGGGCCACGCCGTCCCCTGCCCGCGGGCAGGAGCAAGGGGTTGCAGAAGGAATGGTGAAATGTGTAACGTTAGCTAACGTGTGCACACTCACCATGACAGGTTCTAGCTTTGCACGTGCAGAAAGTTCTCTGAGGAAATTGGCACCGAAGCCCTAACTGCTTTCCTGGCTTTTCCCATGTGGTGCAGGAGCCTGCTTTGGACAGACCAGGATCAGTGTGGGCAAGGCCAGCACGAGGCTGAGCTATGTGGACCAGGTCTTACAGCTGGTGTATGAGGATGGGTCTCCGTGCCCCTCTAAATCTGGCCTGAGCTATAAGAGTGTCATCAGCTTCGTGTGCAGGCCTGAGGCCGGGCCCACCAACAGGCCCATGCTCATCTCACTGGACAAGCAGACGTGCACACTCTTCTTTTCCTGGCACACGCCCTTGGCCTGCGAGCAAGCCGTGAGTATGGCGATCCCTAGGCTAGCCGCAGCCGGCCCTTGCATGCAGTTTACTGAATTTCTGTCACTTCTAGCAGACCCGAGCTGGCCTCATGACCTCCTGACTGGCCCAGTTGATTTGGCCAAAAAAACCCAAAACGATTGTTGCCAGAATTGATATGGAGCTCCCAAGGCTCTGGAGCAAGGTGTTGAGCCCCACCATGTAGTCTCCCCTCGGTGCTTCTGCTGCTTAGCTTTTGACTCTTATGGGTGATAGTTGCAGTGGTCATTAGAAAAAGATGCAGACTCATGCCCTCCTTGTTCCTTACCAGATCGAATGTTCCGTGAGGAATGGAAGCTCTATTATTGACCTGTCCCCTCTCATCCACCGCACGGGTGGTTACGAAGCCTATGATGAGAGTGAGGATGGTGACTCCGACACCAACCCTGACTTCTACATCAACATCTGCCAGCCGCTGAACCCCATGCACGGAGTGCCCTGCCCTGCCGGCTCCGCCGTGTGCAAAGTTCCCGTCAGCGGGCCGCCTCTGGTAAGTGCGGCGTCCTCGGTGCAGAGGGTCTGTGCAGCGTCCAGGGTAACCTCCACTGCGCTGCCTGAGGGTGGCTCAGGCGGAAGAGTGGTGAGTGAGCTAGTGGGACTGGTGTGTGTTCTGGGTCCAGAGGGGAAGAGGACTGAGGAGTTGTGTGCATTCAGCTACCAGCCAGTAGTAGTGGCTGACAGAGTGCGAGTTGTGTAAGAAAGGGGTCCTGTGAGGACCTCAGGGTAGATGCTCAGCAAGAGAAATACTCAGACCAAGTGGCAAGAAAGGACACTGGCACAGATTTTGTTTCCATTTTTAAAAATGCCCTGTAGTTAAAACACTTGGGAAATGCAAGCCCTTTCTGTGTTGATGAGTCACAGGGAAGGCCGGAGCAGGCTTGGCTGATGGCTGGGTGTTTGGCTGTGGAATGTTGAAGATGACTAAAAGTCATCTGTGAGTTACAGTCACATGTTGCCAATGCTTGAGGTGCTTCAGTACTTGGCAGTGATCCCAGGAGTTGCGGGCTGTGGCCCCTGTGTCTCCGTTGTCTCTGTGCTTCAGCAGGTCACAGCTGGTATGGGACATCTCGAAGTGTCCTTTTAAAGACGGACACTGTGTGGATTGGCGCAGAGGGTTCTGGGAGCAGGCGAGAAGTTACCAGAGCATAGGAGGGACCAGGTTTGATAGCTTCCTGCCAGAGAAGTGAGAGAGCTTTACTTGCGTCAGTCTCGAGAGATCCAGTCAACCGAACTCTTCTGCCCCTCCACACTGAGTCACTGTAAACGTGTTACACCAAGTCCTTCCATTGGAGCATGTGTTCTGTCACAGGGTCTGAACATGCCCATAGTGATCAATAAAGATCTCTGCAGCCAAGAATCAAATCACACATCCATACACACATACACTTGCTCTCGTATGTATGGACACATGCTTGGATACACTTACACACATTCACACATGTCACATTCACACATAATGTACTCGTACACACATGCATTCATGCACACAATACATACAATCATGTACATATGTGAATACATTTACACAAGTACACATATTTGTTACACATATTCATATACATATGTTTACTCATACACATAAGTACACGTAGTGACTCACATGTATTGATCATACTGTACCTTTCCTGGCTACTCATCTTCCAATTTTTGCCTTATTTTTATTTCTTGGCAGTGCTAGGTTTGAACTTGGGGCCTTGTACTTGTTATAGGCAGGTGATCTACCACTTGAGCCATGCCCCTGAGCCATCCTTTATTTGTTTATTCAGTGAACCCCACTTACTGAGAACAGCTCCTATATGTCAGAGGCTATGCTAAGCAGACAAATCAGAGAACAGATGCGCTTCTTTAAGGACATACCCACCAGGTCCCACCGAGCCGGGCTGACACAGGGCACCATGGTGGGGGATGGGACCTGAAATGACTGGTCAGCCTTGGGGACGGTGGGCTAGGACGTTGCTCAGCTCCCGCCGCCTACTGTTGGAGTCTGGGCTGTATCAAGTCCTTAAGGTGAATGTAGAGAGGAATTCCTGTGGCTTAAGTCTTTAAATTGAAAATCAATGGAAACTCCCTTGGGACTCACAATGACACCGCCACTCTGCTGGAGAGTCTGAGGCACACAGGGAGGTATTACCTAGTGATACGAATTGCTGTTAGTTCTCTAACTTTGGCCATAGTTAATTTCCTCAGCTGCTGCTTGCTTTGTCCTTTTGCGTAGGACATTGGCCGGGTGACAGGCCCTCCGATACTCAACCCGGTAGCGAATGAGATCTACCTGAACTTTGAAAGCAGTACTCCTTGCTTAGCTGACAAGCATTTCAACTACACCTCACTCATCGCGTTTCACTGCAAGAGAGGCATCAGCATGGTGAGTGAGTGCCTTCAAACCGAGACACTGGCCTGCAGGTCAGGGAGCTGGGCGGGGCACCAAGTACATTGCCTTGGTGATACAGCCTCTGTGCTGATGGGCTTCATCGAATTCCATCAAGTGAGGGATGAGGGGTCACTGTCCAGGCTTGCCCTGATGTAAAAACATAGAGCATTTGCTGACAGAAGTGTCCCTCAGCACTGACCGTGATGTACATAAGGCTCCAAACTTGTCTTTTTGTTCATGTGATATTACTTGTTTTCTTAGTGGTAAGTCAGACATTTGGGAACCTGCCATCATTCACGATGCAGTACAAATTCACAAGTCAGGAGAGAACAAAAGACATCTGCAGGTGACATCGCTACAGTGGGATATTTGACTTCCAAAGAGGTCATTGACTTCTGTCGTCTGCATTTAAAATGTGGACCCAGCCTCCATTATGATGAGAACCTTTCTCTTGTACAGTTGTAGCTCATGTGTTCTGTGCCCCACTGTTACGAGAGCCACTGGGAGTGTCCGGCCCTGCTGCTGGTGACCAGAGTGGCTCTACAGAGGCCCAGCTGGGGCCAGCAGTTGCTCAGGTGGATGGCCTTGCCCGTGTGCACAGCCCACAGTCCTGGGTTGGATTTCTGAGTTCCAGGAAGCTCTGAAAACCTGTCACTTCTTCAGTGGGAGCGGGCTGAGGTTGCTAGTGGTCCCTTTGTCTCATTTGATGTGAATATTCCTCATCCCGTTGCAGAAATACCAGTGTACTTGATTATAGGTCCAGGCGTCATGTGTCTTGTAGGAATAAGACAGCCGGAATTGCATCTTAGAACCTAAAGACAGTGAATTCCAAGGCTTGTCTGATCTACAGGGGTGTAGGTGATGGATTATGTTCTTACTTCAAGTTGATTTCTTGGCCTGGAGCACGTTTGAGAAGAAATATGACTGCTGAGTGTGTGTTGACAGTGTCAAGAAAGGACAGGCCAGCACCAGACAGGAGGAAACGCAGTGCCTGGGAGGGAAGGCAAACCCCCGCTGACCGGGGCCATGCCATCAGAGCTCTCCATCCTGTCTGTCCCTGTTCATGAGTGTTTGTGAGTCAGGATAGCCTCTTACCAAGGAAGAGCAATGCCGTTACGACCACAGCTCTATCCCTGTGAGCCTAAGTGGTCTGTGTGTCTCAGGTTCAGCCCTTCACGAGGGCACCGGTCATTTCACAGCAGACAGGATGGATTGGCTGATGAGGCATAGAAACAGTTCTCAGGGCAGCTGCATCTTGAGTGGTTGGTGCTTATTTGTCTTTAGAAATGGCATCTCACACTGAATGTGTATTTTAGCTGGGGAAAGATGGAGAATTTTCCTTCCCCGTAGTTTCTCTCTGGAGTACTTTTCCATTAATTTTTGGCTTGTTTTTTGAAACCTTGTCTTGCTGTACTGTAGCCCAGGCTGACTTAGAATTTGAGATCCACCTGCCTCAGCCTCCCTCCAGTGTACTAGGACGTAGGTGTACACTGCCGCTCCTTGATTGCCTTTTTCTTGACCATACAAGAGACTCTTGGCAACCGTTACTAACATGTATCTGACCAGCCTCCTACTGTTTTAGTGGGATGAAGAGAAATAAATATATCCAAGAGTACATAGGTTGTGTGTGAGCTCTGCCCATAGCTCCTATCCCGGAGGGCATATCTCACCCTTCATTGTGTCCCAGCATCTAGATGTGACAGGGTGCCGCCCCGGCTTGTGGGCATGTGGATGAGCTTATTACTGAGGGGGGGTCACTCAGACTTCTTTCTTGACAGGTAAAGACCCTCCTTTTTCTTGGCAATCTGTATAGCACAGTGCATTGAGGGCTTCTTGACTCCATCTTTACATAGAGAATGACCCACAGTAGTGGAGGAGGTGTTGAGCTGCGTAGGGCAGGCACAGGTGCCCGTCAGTGCCGTGATGCCGTGGTTCCTGCCGCCCCTGGCTACAGGGTCCCTGTGGGTCTGCATGGCAGCGAGCACAGGGCTCTTCCCCTGGGTGCAGTGTATGGAGGGGTGCCCGACTCCAGCCCTCACCACATGAACAGTGACAAGGCCGCTGCTGTACTTACACTCCGTGTTGACCTTTCCGTTTTTATTAATACTAGAGTTGGGACTCAGAGCCTGTGCTTGCTGGACAGGCCTTCTACAGACATGCCACCAGCTTTTTTTTGCACTTGTTATTTTGAGATAATGTCTTGCCTTTTGCCCAAGCTTGTTCCTGGGATGTGATCCTCCTCTTCTACACTTCCTGCCGTAGCTGAGATGCTGGGTACACACACAGGCCCAGCTTCTCCACTGAGGGAACTTGACTTGTGAGCTTGTTTGCCTGAGCTGGCTGCCACTGCCCTCTTGAACTACTTCAGTCTCGCATATAGCTAGGTGGGAACCACTGGGCCTGGTTTGCTATTTGTTTTTAGACAGTGTCTCACTGTATAACCTAAGCTGATCTCCACTTCCCGAGTGCTGGGATTATAGGTGTGCATCACCAACTCCAGCTCACATTGTCTGTTTTTTTTTTTTAAGATGCCCGTGTTTTTCCACACAGGGAACTCCTAAGCTGATAAGGACCAGTGAGTGTGACTTTGTGTTTGAATGGGAGACTCCGATCGTCTGTCCGGATGAAGTCAAGATGGACGGCTGCTCCCTCACGGATGAGCAGCTGCTCTACAGCTTCAACTTGTCAAGCCTTTCCAAGAGCACGTTCAAGGTAAGGCCACTCCCCTGGCCTCGGTCCTTCACAGAGCCTCCCAGAGACCTTCAGAAGGTCTACTGATGGCATGGAGGGGACGGGCTCTACTGGCATCCGGCTTCCCGGGGCAGGGAGATTTCTGGATTATGGCTGAGCATAGCCAATCCTGTGGATCCAAGAAGTTCAGTACTTGGGGCTTTTAGAGGATCAGATGATGGATGAGGTAGGAAGTCTCTGGTGTCACAGAGAACAGGCAGGGCAGGTTGGGGACCTGCGTGGGGCCACAAACCTGTGGCTGCAGGGCCAGCTGTAGTTAGTGCAGCCAGCATAAGTCCACAGAAAATTCCTTTCTTGCCAGGCTGGTTTTAAAAAGAGGCCAGACTGATGAGTGGAGTGTGTTAGGGGATAGCCCCCAGTTTCAGCCAAGGCACAGCCTTCGTCCTCTGTAGACTGTGAGTGAGGTGTGGGCGTGCCTGGGATCTCAACGTGCAGTTGTTCGTTAACACGTGCAGACTACGTAGGCCACCAGGTCCTCTGCCTGCCTGTACGTGAGACGGGGTATGTGGCCACCTGTACTAACCATGCTCACGGGAAGTGTGCCAGCTCCGGGGTAGGGCCTTCCCTGCCCCAGCACAGGGCCCTCTCCCACATGTACAGCAGCTGTGAACCTGGGAGAGCCAGAAGTAGGAAAGAAAGCAAGGTGCGTGTTTCTGTGTAGAGCGTCTGCTTGGCTGGTGACTCAGCCTCGCGGAGCCTGCCCCCCTCACCCGGGTGAGGAAACGTGAGCTTCAGGGAGGTGGGCTGAGCCTGAAGACTCTTGGCAGCCCCTCTGGACAGGAGAGAGAAGGAGGTTGGTTCAGGGGCCAGGACATGGGGAAAGGCAGGTGAGCTGACGTGCAGATCTGCATTGATGAAGCCACTGAAGCCCGTCAGGCGTGGCTCTCTGCTGTCCTGGAGCCCCCAGTACGGCTCTGTTGACAGTCCCTGTGTGCTGTTTGTGCAGGTGACCCGAGACTCCCGCACATACAGCGTGGGGGTGTGCGCCGCAGCCGCTGGCCCCGAACAAGGAGGCTGCAAGGATGGTGGAGTGTGTCTACTGTCTGGGAGCAAGGGCGCGTCCTTTGGACGGCTGGCGTCGATGCAGCTGGATTACAGGCACCAGGACGAAGCTGTCATTCTGAGCTATGTGAATGGTGATGCTTGCCCTCCAGGTAAATCTTCACAGTAGGGCAAAAATGAAATTCCTGGTCAACACCAAGTTAGACTTAGCAGCAGGACAAGGTGGAGGAAGGCAGCTTCCAATCTCTGGTGTCAAAGCCCTGGCTGTGGACGTAGCCGCTGCCTCCTTCCCCTCCTGGTGTGAGTGCCATGCACTGACACACGCCGTGGGTTGGTGGAGGCTGAGGTTTGGCAGGTGCATCCTGGTTGTCACATGGCTCCTTAGTGCTCCCTGTCAGGCGCCCTCCTGTGGTAAAGCCTAGTATGGCACAGCACATGTCTACTAACGTTCCATTCCAGAAACGGACGAAGGTGAGCCCTGCGTCTTCCCCTTCATATTCAACAAGAAGAGCTACGAGGAGTGTGTCCTGGAGAGTCGGGCGAAGCTCTGGTGCAGCACGACTGCAAACTACGACCGGGACCTGGAGTGGGGCTTCTGCAGGCCCAGTGAGTGTGGAGCCCTGGGGCCTGGGGCGGCAGATGCCGGCCCCGTGTGGGTCAGTCAAAGCAGTGGCTTTCCTCCCTGGCTTCCCACCAAGAAGTGGCGCAGCTGTCCATGGGGCCCGTGAGTGGCAATGTGCGCACCTCAGTAGAGTGCATGCCGGGTGGCTGGCGAGGCCCGCTCATTGGCGGGACTGAGCCTGCACACCGCTTGCCCTGAACCCTGAATCCCAGCGGCTCAGATTCATGCCCAGCAAGATTGCTACCTGTGCTGGGCTCCAGGGTGGTTTTAGGAGAGCAAGGGGCACATTCGTTCCCATCCTGCCACGTGGTAGGCCTGTGGGGAGGGGTGGCTCAGTGCACTGGGCTGTCCTTGGAGACCAGCCCCTTGGAGGGCGCAACGGGGCGGTGGGGGGCTTGGGACAGAGTGGGGTGTGAAGGTGCAGACGATTTCTCTGGTGGCACGTTACTCCTGGCTCATCAGGCCCTGGAGTTTTAGGTAATGACAGGTTTTTCACCGTCTCCATTTCTGGTTAGCGTTAGTACACGTCAGATGCCACCAGCCTCTGCGAGCTGTGCTCGTGTGGTTGGGTCTCGGGCAAGTGTGTTTGGAGTGACACTTGACAGGAGTGAGACATGGCCAGGGCGGGCCTGGGCAGCGGCTGGCGAAGCTGACTGGCCCCAAGCGAGGGGAGGATTGGAGGAGGGGCGCGCTCGGGGCGCCAGCTGGGCCTTACCGTCTCCACACTGCCGCTCCCAGCCAACAGCCACCGGACGTCCGCCATCATATTCAAATGTGATGAGAACGAGGACGTTGGGAGGCCCCAGGTGTTGAGTGAAGTCCGCGGATGTGAGGTGACATTCGAATGGAGGACGAAGGTGGTCTGTCCCCCGAAGAAGATGGAGTGCAAGTTCGTCCACCAGCACAAAACCTATGACTTGCGGCTGCTCTCCTCGCTCACGGGGTCCTGGTACTTCGTTCACGAAGGAGCCTCGTGAGTACCTTGCTGCAGCGTGGGGGGGCAGGTGGAAGCTTCGGGTGCCCTTGCCAAGGCTGGAGTGCCAGGCGCCCGGGGCCTGCTGTGGCTCCCATGGACATGGTGCTCCCGGGCCACAGTCCGAAGCGTCACGGTCGTTCCGGGGGCCTGGCATTGTGAGTGCGTGTGTGGGACTGTGAGTAGAGACAGAGCCCTTAGGGACAGAGAAGCTGGCTGGCTGAATGGGATCAGGCTTGATTAGAAGTGCGCAGGATCACGCATTGCCGGCCTGCGCACACTGAGCGGAATTTCTCCGGCAAGACCTCAGGCTTGGCCTGCGGGGGCCGCGCCCGTGCAGCAGAGCGAGCCTGCCACGGGCTCCTCGGCTGTGTGGGCTTCCGTCAGAGCAGGGGGGGACTGGACAGCTTCTGAGTTACTTTTGCCTCCAGCTGCTACCTATCCTAGCTCTGTAGCCTTTTCCTGACCACACACAGTGCCAGGCCTTCCACAGAGGTAGGCATCTCCCTCCCTCCTTCCGCATGAGCCAGCGCCCCCAGCGCCCGTCCGCAGCGCCGAGCACTCCTTTGGGCCCTTCCCCATGGAAAGGCCATTCCCAGTACACGGAAGGACGGGATGGAGCACGGGGCTATTGCAGGTGTCTTGGGACAGATGTCACTCACCCTCTCACCATCCCCGTGTTGTCTGCAGGTACTTCATCAATCTGTGCCAGAAAGTTTACAAAGGGCCCCTGGGCTGCTCCGAGAGAGCCAGCATTTGCAAGAAGAGCGCCTCTGGCCAAGTCCAGGTCCTGGGACTGGTGCACACACAAAAACTGGACGTTGTGGGTAAGACCTGGGGTGGTTCAGGCGGGTGTCTGGATTGGACGAGGAGGCCGCCCTGCCTGGGCTGTAGCCCACAACTTCCACTTCCTATCGGTGACTGCCTGCTGGGCATTTTAGTAACTTTCTAGACTCATGAAAATAATGTCACTTATTGGTAGCAGAGACTGCCAGTCTGGGTGTTCACGGTTCCTCTGAAGTTTCTAGCTGTAGGTCAAGCATCTATATCTACCTCTAACTCTAAATCTATCATGTAAATCTACCATTTATACAGCTGTTTAGGTAAGCTGGGCAGTTGCCTAGTCCTTGATAAAGATAATTGTGCTACATATTTTTCTGTCCAGGACCAGGATTTGAACTCAGGGCTTTGCACTTGCTTGATTTGCTTGGTTTGCTTGCTGGTACTTTATCACTTGAGTCACACCTTCATTCCTGCTGTTTTGCTGGTTAATTTGGAATGGCATCTTAGAGATTTTTCTACTTGGGCTGTCTTTGAACCATGATTCTCAGATCTCAGCCTCCTGAGTAGGATTATAGGCATGAGGCACTGGTGCCTGAATTAGATATTTTTAATGATTTGGGAAAACATGAAGAAGAAAAACAGCATTTACATTCTCCCATCAGACCCCGAGGTCTGCTGATGCCAGCATGAGAGCGAGCATGAGTGAGCCTGAGAGGCATCGGTGGGAAGTGAGTCCTGAGGAAAGGCGGTGGCAGCCAGCCCAGGCCTGCAGCTGGGGCACGGAGGGAGGGTTACCACTGCAGGCAGCGCCGGCCCAGCAGGCCCTCCTCCTGGGGAGTCTCTCTGTGGCTGCTGTCCTGACCGCGCGTCTCGAGGGCTGAGCATGCGTCAGGTTTCCAACCTGCTGTTTAGGACGCTTGCCTAGGCAAGGGCTGTACCCTGAGTCTCATCTCCAGCCCAACATGGGGTGTTTGGGGGAAATGCCACAGGTCACACGGCTCTGTGGGTGGTGGAGGAGCTCACAGGGAGAGCCGGTGGGGCGTGGGTGGTGGTGTGCCTTGGATAGTGGGGGTGGGGGGCACGTGTCTCTGGGACTAGACTTTGGACTGCTCGATCCTATTTTGTGGAAGCTGAAATTCTTTTTTAAAAACAGGAAATGTCTCCCAAAATATTACACAGAAATAAGTGAAGGCGACTTCATCTCCAGCTGCTTTGGGTTTGAGGCAGGGTTGAGAACCGGACGTCCGCGCTCTCGCTTCCCTTGCAGCCCCTGCTCCCGCGGCAGTGCCAGCACGCACGCACGCACGCACGCACGCACGCCCGCTGCCTTCTCACCCGGGAGCCGGGGGCGGAGGACTCGTGCGGGAGGGCGGCCTGGGAGCACGCACGCACGCACGCACACCCGCTGCCTTCTCACCCGGGAGCCGGGGGTGGAGGACTCGTGCGGGAGGGCGGCCTGGGAGCACGCACGCACGCACGCACGCACGCCCGCTGCCTTCTCACCCGGGAGCCGGGGGTGGAGGACTCGTGCGGGAGGGCGGCCTGGGAGCACGCACGCACGCACG